AGCTACCAGGAAAAATTTCCTCACTGTCAGAGCAGTACAACATTGGAACTTATTGCACAGGGAGGCACTTCCACACTAGAGGCATTCAAGCAGCAACAGGACACTCAGTCGGATGCTGTAATTTAGTTTCCTGCACTAGTAGGGATTGGACCCAGCAGCCTTCTTGGCTCCCTCCAACTCTACTATTCTGTGGTTCTATTGCTTTGTGGTTCTATGCTCCAGTTTTGCCAAAGAGCTTAAATTTCTTGGTGACCTAAAAGACTGTAGCTTAGAACCACTGGTCATGGAACAGAGCAGAGGGGAGGCAATCCTGGATGTAATCCTAGGTGGAGCTAGTACAAGATGTAAATATTGTTGAACCAATTGAAAGCAGTAATCACAGTGCTATCAGATTTAATTTATATTTAAATAGAAGATTGTCAAGGAGGTCCAACCTCAGTAAAGGAAACTTCTCTAAAGTAAGGGAACTCATAAAAAGGAAGTTGAAAGGGAGAGCCAAGAAGCTAATATCCTTTCAAAAATATTTGGTTATTACTCAAAACCACAATATAACCTTGGATAGTATGCATACCACAGACTAGGAAAGGTAGCATCCAGCCTAAGAGGTCACCAGGACTGTCAACAAGTAAGGAAGGAAGTTAAGGAAGCTATTACAGAGAGAAAGGCATCCTTCAAAAAACAGGAGCCTTATACAAATGAGGAAAACAAAAGGTTTGTACAGAGATGATTGTAAGAGATGAAAAAGGCACATGGAAAAGCATAACAACAATACAGGCAGTAATAGGGAATTCTTTCGATACATCAGAAGCAAGAAACCAGTTATGGGAGTGGAACTAAGGACATAATAAAGAAGGATATGGAGTGAAGTAGTTTAATGAATTCATTATATCCACTGCAGAAGAGAAAAGTCAGCTACCTGCACCTAAATTGATATTTTCAGGAAAGGAGTTTGAAGAACTGAGGAAAATAGTGAAGGCAAAATGTGCAAACCTATACACAAACTGAAAGATAATAAATCACTAGGGCTAGATGGTATTCATTCTAAAGTACTTGAAAAACTCAAATTGCTGACTTTCTTATAGAAACATATAAAAGGTACCTAAGATCAACATCTGAACCAGAGGACTGAAGCATGACCAATATAAAACCAAATGTTAAAAATGGATCAAGGGATGGAGAATCTGGGAAATTACAGGCTAATTGGCTTAACATCTGTTATGGGTAAATAGGTAGAGAATGTTATGAAAGAGGGTGACCTGAGGGTGAGAAATTTATGTTTGACTCCCCTGTCATGGTCAGATCACTTCCTGGTGAGGTTTGTGCTCGAGAGTGACCTCTCCCTCTGTAAGGGTGCGGATCCGATTGTGTGGGTCCGCCCCCGGAGCCGGATGAATCCGGATGGATTCCTGAAGGCCCTGAGGGAGTTTCCGGCTGACAAGACTGGTGCTCCTGTCGAGGCTTTGGTCGAACTGTGGAACAGGGAGATGACCAGGGCTGTCCTCTTCCCCTTGGTATACACCTGAATTGCAAGCGATGAAGCAGGTTGGGAGACAGCTAGAGCATAGGTGGAGGAAATCACGGGATGAATCTGACCGAACACACTTGAAAGCCCACTATCAAGCCTATGCTGTGGCGGTGAAGGCGGCGAAAAAGAAGTTTTTTTCCGATTCCATTACCTCCTCACAATGCCGTCCGGCAGAGCTTTTTCGAGTGGTGCAAGGCCTGGTTCGCCCGGGTCCCAAGGAAGATCCGGTTCCACCCTCAAAGGCCCGCTGTGATGACTTTGCCAGGCATTTCAGGGAGAAAATCACTCAGATTTGTCACGAGCTGGACTCCACTAATGAATCAGAGGTTTCTGGGGAGACGCCAATGTGGCCGTTTGGTCCAGAATTATTGGATGAATTTCAGTTATTGCGGCCCGATGATGTGGACAAGGTGCTTGGACGAGTACGTCCCACCACTTGCCTATTGGACCCTTGCCCGTCTTGGTTATTAAATAATTCCAAGCACGGGATTGAGACCTGGATCTTGGAAGTGGTTAACGCTTCTCTGAGGGAGGGTCGGGTGCCTGCCCCTTTAAAGGAGGCGGTAGTCCGTCCGGTCCTGAAGAAAGCGTCACTGGATCCAGAGATGGTCCACTATCTATAGACCCGTGGCCAACATCCCGTTTCTGGGCAAGGTGTTAGAGCGGGTGGTGGCGGGGCAACTCCAAGCACTCTTGGATGAAACTGATTATCTGGACCCATTTCAGTCCGGCTTCAGACCCGGGTACGGTACTGAATCTGCCTTGGTCGCCCTGTATGATGACCTGTGCAGGGAGAAGGACAGGGGGAGTGCGTCCCTGTTGGTTCTTCTGGACCTCTCGGCGGCTTTCGATACCATCGACCATGGTATCCTTCTGGATAGGCTAGCGGGATTGGGAGTCGGAGGCACTGCTTTGCAGTGGTTCCGCTCCTATCTCAACGGCCGATTCCAGAAGGTGGTGCTGGGGGACTATGGCTCTGCGCCATGGCAGCTATGCCATGGAGTACCACAGGGCTCCATTTTGTCCCCTTTGCTGTTTAACATCTATATGAAACCGCTGGGAGAGGTCATCAGGAGGTGTGGGCTACGGAATCATCAGTACGCTGATGATACCCAGCTCTACCTCTCATTTTCCACTAATCCAGGTGAGGCAGTGGCTGTGCTGAACCGGTGCTTGGCCAAGGTTATGGGTTGGATGAGAGCCAATAAACTGAAGCTCAATCCAGACAAGACGGAGGTCCTGTTGGTTGGCAGATTGGGCTTCGGAGAGGGTGGATTTGACCTGGCCCTGAATGGGGTTGTACTCCCTCTTAGGGACAAGGTCCGCAGCTTAGGAGTACTCCTGGACCCGGAGCTTTCATTGGAAGCTCAGGTGACAGCGGTGGCGAGGAGCGCTTTCCTTCAGCTTCGGCTGATTAATCAGCTGCGCCCCTACCTGGAGTACGACTGCCTGGCGACAGTGACACACGCGCTGGTGACTTCCCGCCTTGACTTCTGTAACGCGCTTTACGTGGGGCTTCCCTTGAAGACGGTCCGGATACTTCAGTTGGTTCAAAATAGAGCTGCCAGGTTGCTGACGGGGACGGGGCGTTATGTTCACATGACTCCAGTCCTCCGACAGCTTCACTGGCTTCCCATTGAAGTCCAGGCCCAATTCAAGGTGTTGGTTATGACCTATAAAGCCCTAAATGGCTTGGGAACTGGTTACCTGAAGGAGCGCTTACATCCATATATGCCCAACCGCCCCTTGAGATCTGCGGGAGAGGCCCTTCTCCGGGAACCCTCCATGAAAGAAATTAGGAGGATAGGTACTCGGAGGAGGGCTTTTTCTGCGGTGGCGCCCAATCTATGGAATGTGCTCCCCAGAGAGGTCCGCCTGGCGCCGTCGTTATTTGTTTTTTGGTGCCAGGTGAAGACCTTTTTATTTAAACGTCATTTTAATTGTTAACAATATTCACTTATTCATCTGGCCAGGATGACTTCTTTTCTTTTCTTTTCTTTTCTTTTCTTTTCTTTTCTTTTCTTTTCTTTTTTTCTTCTATTCTATTCTATTCTATTCTTTTATAACTTCTTTTATATCGTTTATATTTTTTATTTTTTTATTTTATATTATTAGTTTTAATTTTATATTGTTATTTTGTATTGTAGTGTATCTTATTGTGTTGTAAGCCGCCCTGAGGCTTTGGCAAGGGGCGGCATAGAAATGTTCTAATAATAATAACAACAACAACAACAACAACAATAATGAATCAATAAGCATTCAGAGGGACAAGCCCATGCTGGAAAGGAATCAACAGGACTTCCTCAAAGACAAGTTGCATCACACTAACCAATTAGATTTTTTTAATACAATGGGGGTATTTAATACCCAGGGGTGTTTATTGTACCTGGCTGGCGTGTGAGCAGCCCTTCCATGTGAAGCACCTGCTGCAATGGCACGTGATGAAAGGCATGAGCAGCGCAAAGCTGAATCAGACCGAGGGTCCATTTAGTCCCGCAAGTTGCTCTACACAGCCAACAGTCACCCATGAAAACCCACAAGCAGGACATGAGTGCAACAGCTCCCTCCTGCCCATGTTCCCCAGCAGCTGCTGCACCTAAGAGAACTATTACCATCATCCTTGTTTATTAGAATGAATCTGATACCGCAGGTGCCATGCTGCCATTGGGAATAGTAACCACTGGTCCACTGTGTGATCACGGCAGGTGCTTCACGTGGAAGCACTGGGCACATGCCAGCCAGTGTGTGAGCAAACCAGCCTGTGCAGAACTTTAAGGAAGCCTTCGCAGGCCCAGGTTTGGCCTACTCCTCGTCCCACTCCACAAATTTCTCTATCACATACATTATATAAAGAGCTCACAAAGGGAGGGATGGTATCCAAGATGCCCCCTATCACCCAGTGCAGATTTAACACCAGGTCCCTATAAACCATGGATTGAAAACCAGGAGCCAACCTCATGTTCTCCTTGCCCCTCCAACATCCTGCCTTCCCTGCCCCTGGTTGCCAACCATGATTCATGCTCAACAGACATGAGGAGGGAATTTGAAGAGCATTAGAATGGTTTGTGCTATCCTGAACATGGCCTAAGGCATTTCATTGTGATTGTTAATTGAAGAACAAACTTGGTCAGGGTTGTGTTGTGCACTTAGAGATTTCTTTCCATTTAAGCTGTGCCTGCTGAATTATGTCATCCAATTCCATTCTATCTCCATATGCTTGATAACACCCTAACAAGTCTATGTATATCTGGGAGACCCAAAGGGTGATTATCATTACTGTTAGCATGATATTTACTTATTTTTTTTACTGTCTCTTTCCTTTTTTAACTACATTATTTTTAAAATACTGATAAAATAGTTTGCAACATTTGGCAACTGCCATTATTGTGCTAAATGAACAGCATGGTCCCTCCACTTCTGGATGAGGGCCAAAATTGAAGAGCCCTTTGTAAAATCATGATTCTTCTTTTACTAGGTGCTGAAATCTTGTGCTTCAGTGCCAGAGATCATTGAAATCCTTTCCAATTCTTATTCTCATTTGCCCATCTCTGAAAAGTGGGTGGAAGTTATTCCAAAAGAAGAATTTCAGGTAAGAGCTACAAGGCTTGTGCCACTAGAACCATGTAACTTCTTGCACTGTTTTGTGAAGGTGGGCGGAGGGAAGGAGAATTCACATTCCTAATTGAATAACAGCAGTAGCAACAAGAGACCTCCCCCACTCCCAAATTTCTTGAAATTAGGAATGGTTGGCAGGGGTCAGGTGATAGAAGTGGCTTTTTGTGTGAATCAACACTCCAGTTCTGGTCCTGAAAACAAAGTCTTAGCAGAACATAAACTCAGAGGCACTTTGTTCCAGAGTTCTGTGTCTACCTTTCTGAGCCTTTCTGCATTACCACACCTGGGGGTTGCATTGAAAACCATATGAGAACCCACATGAGATCCCAAGCCTGCCCACACCAATCTGGGCATGTGTGTTCACTTCCTTTCTTTTTTTCTATATTTGTTGTTCAGTCGCAAAGCCGTGCCGAACAATGAATGTAAAGTAATCCTGTGATGCTTCAGGGCACTTTACAAACCAACGCGCAAATGATGACACAAAAATGGGGCAGTTTATCAAAACAACAAAACAAACCAATAAATTACCACATGCTGAAAGAACGCAGCATTTACAGTCCGAGGGAAAGCTGAACCACTTTTGCCTGGTGCTGAAAAGGTAGAGATGCCAGGCAAACTTCTCTGGAGAAGGGGACCCACAAATGGGTGGTTCTGTTAAGAATTTGGCAGAAAGGCCAGGCAGGCAGGCTCTGCAAGCCATTTTGACAGCACATATCAGAAGCCCCTCTGCCTTCCCAGAAGCCACCACAGCACCAGTGCAGAGGGAGAAACACTAATTGGCTACAGTGGAAACATTTCTTTCCAGGTTGAATTACGACAAGAAAAAACCTGAGTCCACCGAGGGTGTACAATCAAAAGAACATTTACAGTTTATTCAGACGTACAGGAACTACATGTGGCAAGTTGGCAGCCCCAAAGGGACTACACAGCTGGAGCCTGTAGAAGACACTTTTATAACCTATAACCTGTGATACTCAGTTTGGAGGAGGATAGGGAATCATGTAGACAGTTTGCGAAAGGCACATGAGAGCAAAACAATAGGGATGAATGGATTAACGCAACACAAAAAGGAAAACTTTCAGGACAGGCAAACATTGGCATGCCGAAGTGTGGGTGAGGAGCAAGACTTTCAACATGGATTCCAGAGCAGATCAGGAATCCTACCCCAAGTCTAAATCTGTTCTTAGAGTGTCAGGCTTTCAGCAGCCGTAGTATGGCAGAGCTCTCGCTCATTTTGTCCTGACAGTAGCTAGACAGGGTGTAAGGGGAGATTCCTGCAGTGCGTTGCTGCATGTGAGGAGGGGAGTGCTGACCCTTCCTCCCTAGCTGTAACCCCCTCTGAAAACCGCCTTTTCATGTCAAATCAGCTGCGGAAAATAAATCTTTCACTGGCACCAATTGTCTCATAGGGCTCTGGAGAAAAGACCCAGAACTTGGGGAAGTTGACCCAGGCTTACAAGCTGAGTGATGCAGTTTATTAAGATAAAATGTGCATCAAAATCTGCATTAATGGGGCACTACTTGAGAAAATGTGCATATCTGAAAAATGCGTACAAAAATTTATACCTTGGGAAAGATATGTGCACACACAAAAATGCAAGTTTCTGCACAGATACTTTAAAAGAAATCTCAGTTTTGTATAGACATATGATTTTTAAAAAGTTGAAAACTGAAAAGCCAGCAATGTCAGCCATAATGAAATTAGCATATCTGTCCATCCTTAGTGGAGACATAGCTCAAGGATATGCACGGGGCTTCTGCAACTAGAGAACCTCTGGGATATAGGATTGTTCTCCAAAGGAAAGTGAGAGCTCAAGGGTTACTTAAGTTAACACTCAGATCAAATGCACCTTCCCAGCTCTTGAGCAAGACATACAAAATCCTAAAGCCCATACCATTCTTCATAATCAAAGAGCGTGTCTATGGATGTATGTTCACACTTGTTAGCCTGTGCACGAACAAAAGCAATACTTTAAAAGGGGAACTCCATGTCTTGTATGACTGCAATTTGTGTCACTAAGATATAATCTACCACGTTGCTGTGCTATGCTGTCATTCCCGTCTTCTGTGCAAGAGACTGTGTGTGTGTGTGTGTAGAACATGACCATGCCGCAGGGTGTTTCCCATTTGATATATTCCAAAATTCATTGTCAGTCTCTGTGACAATGCTGTGATGGCTATTTGCAGCCAACTGTGCCCAGTCTATTGACTGCATTCTGACACCCTTGCTTCAACAGGTAGTATTCTGTCCAATTCCCAAATCCAGATTTTGTGATTAACCTTCTTTCTGCCTTTCTTCGAGCTGAGGAGCTGGACCTTGCCTCTTAGCCTTCAAAAAAATTAAATCCAAACATCATCCTATTTTATATTTTTAGAGCTGGCTGAAAGGAGGAGCCGGGCCAAGAAACCTCCCAAGAAACAGGATGGCCCCGAATGTGTCAGGAGGTTTATTCTGACTGGCTTTATTCTACCATTATATAAAGATAATTGCAGAGAATTCCAGGCTCAAGAACCTTCATGCTATTCAGAAGCATTACTCTTGTCTTGACAACTAACCCCTGACCTCCTGTCAGGTTTTCATACCTTGTAATTGGCCTTCCTTTTTCTTTCAGAAGCACCTACCTTTCTATGAGTCCTTCTTCCGTCAGACGTACACAGTCCGGCACCTGCAACATCTGTGCCGCTGTGCAATCAGGAGGAGACTGGGTGACAGGTGCCATTTCCTCATTCCCTGTCTACCAGTGCCCCAAAGCCTGAAAAACTACCTGCTGCTTGACCCTGAGGGAGTTCTGCTTTGAATCGCTCACACCACCGCCACCAAATATCACTGTTTTGGTGTGATCTCCATTGGTGTACAATAATGGATTGCTTGTGAATGAAGAGGGCTTACCAATTCAATGACAGATTAAGTGCTTTCAGAAGTCTACATTAGCATGATCATAGATGTTTACAATGAACTGAAGCTTTTTCCCCCTATCACTTCTGTTAGATTTATTGCCTCGCAGATTTCTTCTCTAGTGATCCGTTAGTACAATGTAAATAGGACATACAATATACAGCGCAGAGTTAGGAACATTTAAGGCAAAATGTTTCCTATAGAAATACCAGACTTCAGTTAAATGATTGAGTTCTTAAACTAGTAAAAAAGTTAAAGGGATAATAAAGTATGAATGAACAAAATATACTGGCACATTTTTCACATTTTATATTAAAAATGACATAGACTGCATCTCTAATAATTGTTTTGCATGTGTGTGTGAAAGTCACTCTCAAGCAACATGAAAAGCCCACTCAAAAAAAGCAGGAAGACCTGAGAGATTTCCAAGGAAAAGCCTCTTCCAAAGTACGTTTCCACCCCTCCCTTTCACTTCCTGTCTGTCATGCACACAGACCTTCTCCATCTAAAGGTGCTGGAACAGCAGCAAAAAAGAAGGCTGCCCAAGTCCTTGAGTTCTGCCTGCAGTGAACAGAGCACGGACACCTACACAAAACGAGAGCACACACCGGAGGGAGCACCATGTGGCACTACTAGTACCACAAATCAGCCCATTGGGTAGGGTCACAGGACACAGTAAGCCACTGTGCATCACAGGCTGTGCAGGGCGGCTGATAAGCCAACCTACTCAATATGTGCCCAGCAGTTGATCGTGAGCAGAGGGCCCCTGCCCGCCACTCCTCAGCCCTCAGATCTCCTGCAAGTATCCCAGGGGACACTGCAGACACCCCAGGCTATCCACCCATCAGCACCAGGATACAAAGGCATTTTTATTTTCTATGGCTTTTCTCCCTTTTAACTCCGCCCCCCCCCTGGCCCCGAGGCAACTGTCAAGCTGTTTTCAGAATATCTGTTTTGCCAGCTACAACCAGGGATGTTCTTGGAGGATTACTATGGTTGCCACTTTATTTTTTGACTCACACAATGAATTATTTGCACTCATGGGTTTTTTGTTTTTGTTTTGTTTTGTTTTTTGTAATCCTGCTTGATTTGCACAACTCTGGCACTCTAGATCAGCATCATTTATCTACTTCTGGAGCTTCAAGTAGTTACTGCTCAGGAGGGTGCCTGCTGGCCAAGTCCAGCAGGTACCCATTCTGTGCAATGCCCACCCAAGCTTTCAAGTCAACTAACTTCACATTTGGAAGTATTTGTTAGTAGTCAGAAGTTGGTGAGCTGTCAAATAATTCCAAAAGCTACTCTTTACTGTTATTAATGCAGTGCAAAACAGCATTTTCTCTTTTTCCCCTCTTTTTTATGCAGCCACATTACATTGTTAACTCATATTCATCTTGCAACCTATAGCAATGCCAAGATCTTTCTTTCTTGCAGGATTGTTGTGCCAAGTAGCCCATATCTTGCAACTGTTCCAAAGATTCTACCTTGAGCCCTTTTTGAAAATAGGGACAACATTAGCCCTCCTCCAGTCATTGGTGCTTCACCCCAGTCCCTTTAGGATGCATTTCCCCAGGCCTGGAGATCTGAACTCATTCAAAGAAATCAGGTGTTTTTTGAAACCTCAGTCCTGTCTCTTTAGCTTGTACTTCATTTCTGCCGGGTGGAGGGGGGGGGGTGTCATAGACCTGCTTTTGGGAGAAGACTGAGTCAAAGTAGGCGTTGTGCACCTCAGCCTTTGTCATCTGTTACCAGTTTGCCGTCCTCATTTGAGAAGCTGAACCACGCTTTCATTCTCTCTCTCTCTTTTACTGTTCTCCTACCTGGAAAAAGATTGTTTTGTTGCTTTTATCATCCCATGCTAGCCCCAACTGATGTCATTCCTGCACTTCTATGTTGCCTGTTTGTACTCTTCCTTTGTCACCTGGCCTTCCTTTCACTTCCCATACCTGTCCTTTTTTTGTTTCCAGATCAACTTGAAGTCTTTGTGGAGCTAAATTGGTTTCTTCTATTGTCTTCTAATTTTTGTTAATGTTGGAATCGCATAACCAAGACCTGCATAAGCAGCGAGGAATTGGTCTCTCCCAGCTCTGCCCACCAAGGTTCAGCAACAGGGTAGACACAGGGGCCGAGGTGGGGATTGCTGATGTCCATAGGAATTCAACTTTTTCTGCAGGCTTCTGGCCCATCTGACTACTCACCTGGAGTGTTGGTCTGTGTTGTGTTAGTGGGACAGATGGGAGCGCCTACTAGTGTGCTGTCCATTCCACTGCTCGACAGACTTCCTGTCTGAGTTGACCGTGTGCTGCTGAATCCTCCAGGCAGCTGGTGCTGGGAGATGTCAGCCGTTACGCTAATGGTGCCTTTTGTGGGGCAGCTCAGTGCTTCATGCTTTCCGTGGGGGCCAGAGGACCTAGCCAGCATATCATACTCAGCAAGGCACACTCCAGCATTGGCTTTTGCCATTGGGCATGGGAATCCTGTACGAAGGTCAGGGACTCTGAGGCAGTTCAAAAGGAATTGACCCAACAGGAAGGGAGAGAAAGCAGCATTGCATGTAAGACTGTATGTATCCATGGCAGTTTACCACAGATTGTCCAGCTAGCCAGATGGCATGAATGGCGCTTTCCTGGAAACATAGAAACAAAGCAAGTCAGAAGGGGCCTCCCACGACATCTCGTCTGATCCCGGGCTCCAGCTGGCTCCCCTCATGTAATTGCCAACATGTGATTGTCCAATCTTTCCTTGAGCACCCTCACTGATGGGGCCTCAGCCACCTCCCTTGGAAGCCCATTCCATACCTTACGGGTCCTAACCATCAGGAAATACTTCCTGACATCCAACCTGAAGCCTGGTTCCTTGAGCTTTGCCCCATTGGACCATGTCTTTTCCTCCACCACAGAGGAGAACAGGGCATGGGTCTCTACCGTATGACATACCTATATGTCCCTAACAGATCCCTTTAGAGTTTCCTCTTCTCCAGGCAGAAAATACCCAACTCCCTCAATCTCCCCTCATATGGCATCCCCCACAATCTGGCTACCATCCTTGTGACCCTGCGCTGAACTCATTCTAACCTAGCTATGTCTCTCCTATAATATGGAGTCCCAAACTGGATGCAGTACTCCAGTTGTGGGCACACTAGAGTCGTGTAGAGCGGTATCAACACCTCTCTAAATCTGGAAGCCATGCTTCTGGCCATACATCCAAGGGTAGCATTTGCCTTCTTAACCACTGCATCACACTGCTGGCTCATGTTCAATCTGCTGTCGACAAGTACCCCGAGATCCCTTTCACAAGTGCTGCTCTCCAACCACTTGTCCCACATCCTGTACTTGTGACACCTATTCCTGTGTGCCAAGTGCAAGACCTTGCACTTATCCACATTGAATGCCATCCTGTTGTCCCCTGGCCACTTCCATAGCCTGGATCCGGATCACCTCAGTTGGGGCCACTCAGTTGTGGCCACTTTGGTATCATCCGCAAATTTACTCAGCTGACTGGTTATCATCCAGATCATTGATAAAAAGGTTGAACAGAATCGGTCCCAGAAATGAGCCCGGGGAGACTCTGCTTGTCACTAGCTGCCATCCAGATGATCCCCACTGATAGTCACCCTCTGCTTGCAGTCCATCAACCATGCCCTAATCCATTGGACAGTGCATTGATCTATCCCAAAGCTCAACCATTTCTCAACCAGGATATTGTGAGGCACTATGTCAAAGGCCTTGCTGAAGTCCAGCTAAACCACATCCATGGTGTCCCCTCCATCAAGCCACCTCCAGACCTTATCATAGAATCCCTCAATGGATGGCAAAACTTCCAGAGAGAGACCCCAGCTACATGGGTGCTTCAGCTACATTGACATCTTCTGCAAAGAATGGAATGTGCAATGCATTTCTACTTGCCTTGCTGACGATGTCCTCTCAGAAGGAACAAGAAGTTCCAGTGTCCTGTCCAACAGGGGAGAAAAGGTAGATGAAGGGAAAGGGGCCTTAGGAGACATGGCCATTGCAGGATGCACGCTAGGGCTTGCTCTGTGTGTCTGCCTGCTGGCACCCCTGCAAAATGGATTCATCGCTGTGATGCCCCAACCTGATGAATATCATGTCTTTCACACAATTGAGCATCGCACATAAATGTAATTTTGGCAGAAGGAAGAGGAATTTCCTCTGTGTCTGACTCATCTGAGTGCTCATGCATCTCTGAAAGCATACAGAAAGGGAACTTTAAAAATAACTTGTATGGTAATTTAGAGCTTTTTGGTACTGTCCATGGGGTTTTCATGGCAAGGATCTCGGAGTGGGTTGCCATTTACTGCTCCAGTGGATCAGCTTTTGTCAGAGCTCTCTGCTATGACCTGTCCGTCTTGGGTGCTCCTGCATGGCATAGCTCATAGCTTCATTGAGCTACACAAGCCCCTTCACCATGGCAAGGCAGTGATCCGTGAAGGGGCTCTTTAGAAGGCCAGATACTGAAGATGAAACTCAAATATTTTGGCCACCTAATGAGAAGGAAGGACTCCCTGGAGAAGAGCCGAATGCTGGGAACAATAGATGGGAAAAGAAGAAGGGGACGGCAGAGAATGAGGTGGCTAGATGACTCACTGAGGCAGTTGGTGTGAGCTTAGGTGGACTCTGGGAGATGGTGGAGGACAGGAAGGCCTGGAGGAGTGTTGTCCATGGGGTCGCGATGGGTCGGACACAACTTCACAACTAACAATTCAGAGCTTGACTCCTCTGTCCATGTACAGTCAAAAGTCGGTGCCAAAAAAGAAACTCACAATGGAGGAGTACAATAGGTGGGGCTGCCTTCAAGCTCCCTTGGCTGCCTTCTCCATCCCCACTCATGTCCTGGGTATGAGAAATGAGAAATCCCCCATTTGCCCCGGTGCCACCTTTTTTTCAC